GAAAACAGAGCCGAAGCTGGAGCTGAAAACTGGAAAGTGTGAAGCTATAACCGCAGCTGAAGTTGAAATTTTAAAATTGTGGAGCCGAAATTTTGGAAAACGTAGAGTCGGGGCAGTGGCTGGGCCAAGACCGGTTAAAATGTGGAACAACCATGATGTGGAACAGCTCAGTAAAATAAAGGATATATGCACTGGCCAAGGGTCACCTAAACACTGAGCCTAATTGTAAGACTAGCCATACGACTCAACCTGCTCCTAAGGCTTTGGCTAAATCCACGAGTGAGTCTAAGTGAATGCCCGAGTATAAGCTTGAACTTGACTGTGAGAAGTAATTGAAGTGAGTAGACTTTGGCATTTGAAAGCGTGTTGTAAGTCGATGGATAAACTTTCTCCATGTTACATGAATGTTTGCAGTGAAAACTTGATAGCCTTCAGTGCTTTTCACTGTTCTGCCTTTCATAATCCTTTCCCCTAAACCCATTTTTTCATTTGATTTTGATCTCACTGTCAATTAATTCATAGCTCAGATTTGCCCTAGAATAAAAACCCTCAATTGAAGTTGATGTTCACTTTTGATTTGAATACGTCACGGTTCTTCTCCTCAGTTCGCCTAAGTTATTACTGGATATTTCCATCAAGTATTCCTCATGATATTCTTATATTTGTGACATTTTGGCAGCACTTTGTGCTTGAGTGTGCCATCCCAACAGTCTGTATGAAGCAAACACACCTGACTTTTTCACCTCATATTGATACACTGTCAATGAGAATTTGAAGTTATGACTTAATGGACGAGATATGCTTTTCGTATATCAGCTTTATTGGCGTGTTTCGAACGGGTGGTTTGCAAAATAGTGACGAAGCTTTTTGACTGTTACAATTCTGAATAAAATGAACAGAAACATTTTCAAATTAAAAATTCTGAAAGGTGAAACGATCGAGGAGAATCTTAAGAAATCCTAAATTTGGAAGATGCGATGAATAGTGCTGGTTTACTAGTTTCAAGGCATGTGCAACGGAATGTTGTTAAACATGTTTGACCGTTGAAAGACTTTACCTGTTCACTTTTCTATTCTAAACTTGCATTAATTCCACTTTAGATGCTAAATTTCCATGGATCTTGGACGAGGACCGTTTGACTGTTACATTGCACGCAAAACGTGTTGTAATGTAACATATTACATTTACATCAACTGATTAGAAAATTCAATTCAAATGAACCTACGACAAACACTTATCATTGTCAAATTGCAATAGGAACCTTAACATAACAAATCATAAAACAATTCGAATGAGTTTGAAATAAATCAGCTGTTATATTAATCAATAACTTACTACCTCATCGATTAAATGACCAATTTTTGAATAGCGATTAATTAATAGAATTATGTTGGAATATGAATTCTAAAAATAATCCTCCCACAACTGGATTTTTGTTGTCGAATTTCAATAGCAATTAATGAGAAGCAAGATTCTATGAAATGTTTTATATAGTAAAAAGCTATGGACGAGGTAATATATAAGGAACAAATGATATGGCAACATAAATAATTCAGCGATGCTATTTTAAATCATTTTCGCATCATTCTTTAAAGCAATACTCTAACACGTTACTTTGCTCACCGTCAACAAATGAAAACAAAATGCGATCAGCTCAGTTACCGTGTTAAATATATAATGGCATACATACACAATCAAGACGCAATTTTTAACAGGTTCTTTCACAACGAAGGGGGCATCATATTAATCAATCAAAATAAAAACATTACAATCAGCATAATAGTTCGAAAAACATGCAAACTATCCAAAAAATCTCTTATATCCAGAGAAAAAGGCTAAAATAAATACTATATGCCGCCCGATGACTAACCGTCATGAATAGCAGATTATTAGTGTCAGAAAAAACATAACTATCATAATGAGAGGATGATCTGCGCTGATCAAGCCAACGACACTACCATTTCCTAAATCCCCATTCTAACCACACTCTAATATAAATGAGGTTAAAGATTATCGCGTCACATTCTATTACTATTATTACTGTTACAGTCTAATGCTATCATTCTGTCTACAGATTATCTTTAGATAGGCCGTACATCAACAAATACATTACAGTAGAAAAGAATCATCCATTACTGACAATCACCTCGACGAGGTCTACAGTACTATATGAATCTCATCCCGAAATGTGAGGGTAAATTCGTGACCCTTCCTTGTAAATAATAATTTTGATATTTTATTAAATAAAAGCCTAACCAAATTCTGTTTAATTTCAAACGAATTTCCACATCAAATTTTCGGGTTACGCAGATTTTTCGAATGATACAATCGGCACTCACTGCACAAAATGAGTGTTAGTTTGAAGACATTTAAAATAAATGCTCAGTCATTAACCGCTCATATCTCCTCCAATTCTCAACTATTTCTTGAAATCAAAGTTTAACTCACTAACAAATCCACTCTAAAATACGCAAAAAGAAAAAATCTGAGCGGTCGAATGTAATGTAAAAAAGAATCTGAAATAGAAAAGAACGTTGCAGAAAATCGATGAGAGTTAGAAATTATTCAATATTGAGTTCGTAATCGTATGAATGCGATCGATCAAAAGCATAAATGCTTCAGAACGGATTAAATTGTTTTGATGATTAATCGAAATGGAAGCAAACGTCGTTTTTTGTTCAGTCAGTCAGCTTTCTGATGATTTTCGGCATCTGAAAACGGTACAGAACATTAAACAAAGGAGAAACATCCACTGTTAAATGCAAAGAAATGGAAGTTGATGAAACGTTCACTAATCGATGACAACAAATAAGTCTGAGCGGTCGAATGTAATGAAAATGAAAGTGATAACCCGATAAATCAATATCGTCATCCTCATCATCGTCTTCTGGGTAAATCTCATCACGATCAACCGTGAAGTCAGTCGAACAAATGCAGTAAGTGATAAGAGAGAGAAACGCGAGTGGTACACCAAACAAGCAGACGGTCAGCAAAGGCTGCGCACGAAACATTTCATAAACATTCGTTGTTACCTGAATTGATCAAATCAATCGATTACGAACTGGACTTGACTGAAAGCACACAACTCAGCTAATCATGACTGATGCAATTCAAAATACCTCATAGGCGATTCGTTTAATTCGCTGCGAAATACTACGTCCACCCATTGCTTGCACATCGCCCGCAACAATCCGTTCTAAAAATGATATGACACTCTTCTCGGTAAGTTCCGTTGAGAGATCACCACTTAGGTAGTATTCATAACTGCTTACATTGAACACCAACAATTCTGAAAGAACTTTGATAATTACTGGAAACTACGCAAAAATAAAACGAATATTGCAAGCAAAAACTGGGGGAAGAAACGTTTAGTGAAAAGGTGAAATAATGGCATCATATTCGTTATGATATTAGAAAGCAGAGTGACTGCTTCTGATGATGTGTCAGGCCAAATGAGAGTGTAGATTAGAGAATAAAAATGAACCAGGTTGATTGACTGCTCCCAACACAATGCTGTTAGCCATTTCACTGCCGTCCATCCAACCAAATTGATAAACAGGATTCAATCGTTCATCTGCGCGAATCAACTTTGCTGCTTTCGTCATCATTGCATAGAACCTACAAAGCAAACAAATCCACCATTCTGATGATTACTGCCAGGAAAATTAGGTATTATTACACAATGGGGTGAACATTTGAACGATTCAAATTCCCGTCAATCGAAATTAGGTCCAAATTTAAGCATATTGTTCAAATTCAGGCTGAGGCTAACAGGCATCCTAATGGCGAGAAATCAAATTGACGAAAAAATAGCATGTGCACAATACCTGCCAACTGAGGTTGAAACATTTTTCCTTTCGATCATGTTTATCACCGACAGTACTAAAAGTTTAGTATTACCCATTTCCTTGATATTGCTTGATGCTACCAGTGGCATCAATGACCAACGTTCGGCATTCACCCAATCACTCAGATCTACACCTTCAAAAGCATTTATAAACCACTTAAGAACGACTTCGCGCGACTTTTACAGCATACGATTTGGGATGGATTTGACGTTCTAAAACTTCACTTCAAGCAACGATAATCTCTCAAAATTAATCCGAATCAGAATAAGAAGTATATTCAAACCACTACCAATGTACATTGTACGGTACAACAAAGAAAACAATCTGTACGTAAACAGTCGTAAAATCGATGCTAAGAAAGAGTCAACTGCACGAATTACCTTTTTGCGAATTGAATACGGCGAAAGTAGCATCCTTGAAAACGACAACAGTCGGGAGACGTGGGATTGCAATAGTTTGAGGAAGAAACTGGTGTAGGACACGATAGAAAGAGGATGAAGAGAAGAGGCGTTGAGCAAGTGTTCTATATTCATCGTATAATTGTGTCGACTCCATTTCATCAGATGAGTCGACGAATGCGAAAAACGGTTCTTTTGTTGAGTGTCTCAACTGGAATGTTTTGCTTTTTTCTTTTACTTCATCATGTTATGCAAATCAACCTTTTAAAAACAATTGTGCTATTTCAAAATGCTTCATCCATTTGCAATAAGGCCCCAACTTTCAATGTCACACTCAGGTTTTCATCTACGTTTCGGTTCTTCACAAATTTCAAGCTTAATATCTGCCAAGAAATTTTGAAAACCGTTCCTTTTTCGAACTTCAATTTTAAAGACAAAATTTTGGTATTACAATTCTTGACAGCTAAACTCAGAAAGTTAATTATGCGTCATACGGCTAGACAATTCGGTGAATGCAACTGCAGAACTGTGTTTTGATCGATTGTAATGAACCGAAGGCAAACCTGAGAGAGTTGCGATGCACTTCCAATGACTCCAACAATCGGTCCAGCTGCTTTCACCGCGAAATCAACCATGGCCTCTTTTTTTCGTTCTCCTTCGTATACCATTTCTTGACCATTTCGGAAACTAGAAAACGATTGCAAATAAATCAAAATACAAAGTTTTTGGGCACTAGTGTCGTTTGAGGGGGAGGGGAGGAGGAGCACATGAGCGTGCATACGAGCCCGAGGCTCCGCTTAGGTTGAGGCAGAGGCAACGCCATAGTGCTGTTGTGCTCCCCCTCCCCCTCAAAGGACACCAGTGCCAGTTTGTGTTGCATCATATTCCAAAATATAACATATTATTCGAAGTACCACTTCGTCGGAACCGAAAAACTATTTAACAGAAATTGCATTTAATAGAAATATAAACAACCGTGATTAATATGTTGAGAGTTTAATGATAATTATTAGGTGATCAATTTCCGATAAATAAGATGCTCCTAAATAAGATATTGTCGATGAAATATGATATTCATATATCAGATGAATGGAACTAACAATATAATAGTCGGATAACCACGAATATTGAGTGTGGATGCGGCAGTTGTGTAACGAGTACAGTCCAGTTTAGCGACTCTAACCGGTGAATTACGATCCGCCAGTGCATGTCCCACATGCTCCCATATTGGCATTAAACGTTTACAATGAGCACACCACGGCGCATAGAACTTGAATTTGTTGTTTGATTTCATTATTATCGTTTACAATCAACATTTAACTTCAGGCTAAACGGAAATGGGACCGGTGTTAAATTCATTATAAATTAAGACAGTCAATGAAAAATTCATTTATGTTATAATACTGCATTATTTTATCGGATGCTTCAAAAACGGACTAATAGTGCTAGCAGCATATGACTGGCTTATGCTCTGAAACACTGAACTCATCAGCTTCCGCAGAAGAGGTGAATAAACGAGTAGCAACATTAACAAGAAAATAAATACATACCTCAACAAACCAAAGACCTTCGTGTTTGACTTGAAGGAACTTATCATTTAGATCAATAACTTGAGATGAAACACCTGCACCTTGTGCACTGATACCAATAAAATGAAGCAATAGCACGACAAATGCACAAATCTGGCTGAGCCGAGACATCATTGGAATATGGAGAAACTTGTTTTCTCGGTTCAATCGTAGATCTCAACTTTTACAGTTAATCCAGAGAATTCTGAATAGTTCAAGCATCAAACAACCAGCTATCATTTATAATATCCGACAATGTGTCCTTAAAATAACTCATTCGAAGAGGCTCGGTCTCTGTAATTGTTCATCTTGTCGAATTATTCGTGTAAGTCTGAAATTCTGCTTCAATCAAAATTTAAAATTTCACCCCTTAGATGGTTTTTTAAAGAATTGATTACAAGCTGTAGATAGCAATGGGTTAAGTATATGTTACAGATGTATAAAGCAAACTTTCAGCGGTTTCCTCTAATGCATTCTATGCGAACTGAAAAGAAAACCGTTTTCTCCTCTCTAACATAGCTTCCAGGAAAGGGTAGAGAAAAAAGTTACCGGATTATAATCACTGCCGTCCATTGCCGAAATTCAGCGTCCTTGCTTATCTCACAGGAATAAGAGTCACAGGTATACAAATCTGATCTTTTACGAGAGTGAAAACGAGCAATAGCAGGTTATTCTCGTAAAAACTCTGAATTGTTGTTCGTTCAAATTGTTTCAAAACGATTGCAATTGCTTTATTCAAATTGCTTCAAACGAGTGCTCCTCTCAGTTATTTAAAAATGACAGCGCTAATCGTAATCTCTTTCAAACAACAAATCAATACAAAGGCGCGGGCAATTTACTCTAACATATACCCTTATTAACGATAAACCCTCTCTGGAACCCGAATATGCATCGGTACACAAACACTCCGCCAATCGCGCTTAGTGATAGTCTGCCAAATGAGAGCTAATTGATAGTGAGATATATCCAGACAATTCAATTATTTGCCATCTGTGATGGGGTGACCGACAAATACGCCAGCGACAATTTCATTTTTTCATCGCTGCAAGCATGTAATAACTGCTCTCGACATCGCCGAATATCACCTCATCACGATTGCTTACGAAGAATTCCCACAACAGCGATCTGCTGTCGTCGTGATCACTCAAGTACCCGATCAGTGATGACGGAAAACTGCCGCGTAATGCTTCTTTGATCATACTGTAATCAACATTTATCAAATCATAAAATGGGAATGTGCATAAATAGATAATAAATTTATCCCAATGATTGCAGCATATCGAATTGAACATGACCGTAATAAATTATCACATAATAAAGAACGAAACATTCTATTAACGCAACCAACAAAATGACCTGTTCAATCGTTCCGGGTTGGTGGTGCACGCCATACCGTTCAGCTCATTAATATTTGCAGTAATAGTATCATTACTACTATATTCCCTTTACCATTACCATTATTATACTATTTTCGCAATCGGCACGGTCCATACACTGTGGATCTGCTGAGTCTCTGTGAGACGAATATATAAGAGCTGTTAAGAACAATCATTGCAAAATAAATCGTATTCATCCTATAGCACTTTAATGCTTCAGAAATTGGTTTAGCTGATACATCGGCTCATTAATTTCATAGACTCAAGTTCATGCATCATATAGTTCGTGTATTCGAAACGAAGTCAAATTCTGGATCAAGTCAAATTAAGAGCTGATCTGAAATTTTACGAGTTTCAGGCAGAAACATATCTCGCTGAAAATGCTGCGCAATTATCCGAAAGTGATAAAGTGGCCCTGCAGAAGGGCATTGACTCGGTTCAGGAAAGAATCGATTGGTTAGCGAAGAACAAAGCGCCGATCGCAGATTGGTTGACCAAGCTTGAATAATTGTTTGAGTAGAATTTTATGTGTTGTGATATGTGATGGTTGATTATTTTAGTTTATTCTTATTATTATTATTATTCTTGTCATTTCATCGTTTTGTTAACAGTTCATATGAATGCATTCAATAAACTCATTCCTAACAGATCAAGCTCACTGCTTATTGCTACATCATTTTACAAAATGGGGATTGTGATAAAACGAAATGCTGCAATGGAATTCCATGCTAAATATATTCGTAGGTTGACGACAACTGAAAATGAACTGTCACCATCAATAAACTTGTCGATTCTCTGATATTGTTCAACAACAAAATTGCTCAACAGAATTATGTTTTTCTGAATCTAGACATTCCACTGGATCGGATGTTGTAAAGAAATTCATGTGTTCTTGGGCTTGGGCAAACCTGAGAAGACGGTGGTCCTGAAGATGGCAACTTCGATATTGCTACAATAACGTGCAGATTGATCTATAGAGATCAACGTGCGATATTTTACAAAATGGGGATTGTAATAAAACGAAATGCTGCAATGGAATTCCATGCAGTGATACAGCACTCTTTGGTGATACCTGCACAGATTTTTCGTGCAATAGAAATGATATATTGTGCGATGTGGTTGATAATGATCATATAGGAGATCGATACTGATTGATCTTTGTTGTCATTCAGTGCTGTTGCCATTGTCAACACCGTTCATTTTTTCATTTCTTTTTCACTGTGTTCTTTCGTAGCGGTTGGGTATGACTGGAGTGCGTATGCGTTGCCATCGAATTCATTTGACCGTGTTTTTAGTATTATTTATTGAGGATTGTATGTGATTGCTTTCTGCTTTCGGATTTTGAGTAACGTTTTAGGTTTGGTAGTACCACATTATTAAGTAGATTTGATGGTACTTAGAGTTGTAATAGATCCAATTGAATGCGGTTTCAGTGTCATGAGACTCTCATCAACGGATTGCAGTTGTGATTTGGTTCTGACGGAATATGATTCGTTTGTTTTATTTCGTTGTGATACAGCAATCGCAAAAACGTTATATTCCTCAATCAACTGAATGTTTGCGTTCTCAGGTGAGAACGAATGACTAAAATCGGCTCACGACGATGATCA